CTCCAATATGTGGTTCCGGGAAAACTGGACAGTTACATGTAAACGAATGAAATTAGAACATTTTCTCATACCATATACAAAAATAAACTCAAAATGGATTAAAGACCTAAATGCAAGACCTGAAGCCATAAAACTCCTAGAAGAGGATATAGGCAGAATATTCTTTGATGTAAATTGTAGCCATATTTTTTTGGATTTGCCTCCTAAGACAAAGGAAACAAAAGCAAAAATAAACAAACGGAACCTAATTAAGCTTAAAAGCTTTTGCACAGCAAAGGAAACCATTGACAAAATTAAAAAAGGATCTACTGAATGGGAGAAAATATTTGCAAATGATATGACCAATAAGGGGTTAATATCATATATATATGTATACATATATACACACACATAGACACACAGACACAGCTCATACAACACAATAACAAAAAGTGAACAACCTGATTAAAAAATGGCCAGAAGACTTAAATAGACATTTTTCAAAGAAGACATACAGATGGCCAACAGGCACATGAAAAGATGCCCAACATCACTAATCATCAGAAAAATGCAAATCAAAACCACCATGAGATATCATTTCACACCTGTCAGAATGGCTATCATCAAAAAGACCACAGGCAGCTCCCTATTGCTGGAGGAGAAAAGTGCCCCGGATCCTTTCAGGACTCTTGGTCTTTTGGAAGCGACCCAAATAGAGTGAGGGAAGAGGGAGGAAAATCCCCTGGATCCCTGCAGGGTTAATTTATTCAAAAATAAAATAAGAGAAAAATACTCAACATGCAAAAGTCTTGTGAAGAAAATGAAGGAAAAGCACCGAACATGCCAAAGGCTGAGGAAGACCGCCCTATGGAAGCTGTACCACAGGAGGCAGAAAGAAATCCTCAACCTTTTGAAGAAGGTGTAAGCCAGGAAGTAGAAGGAAACCTTAGAGGAGGGCTGACTCAGCCTGGTCAGGGATATAAAGAGGACACTCCGGTTAGGCATTTGGACCCAGAAGAAATGATAAGAGGAGTAGATGAGTTGGAAAGGCTAAGGGAAGAGATAAGAAGAGTAAGAAACACGTTTGTGATGATGCATTGGAAACAAAGACATTCACGCAGCCGTCCTCATCCTGTGTGCTTTAGGCCTTGAATTCTTTTTTTTTTTTTTTGTCTGATATTAAAATCTGGCGCCTGCTTTCTTTCTGTTAGCATTTTCTGATGTATCTTTGACTTTTGTTTTATTTTTAATCATCTGGTGGGGTTTTGCTTTAGGTAGTGTCCTTATTACCAGCATCTGGATTTTGTATTTTGACACATTCTCCAGGTCTGTTTTTCAATTGGGAAGTTTCACACATATGCATGAAAATATGTTCATTCCATATTGTAAAGTAAAACATAACATGTTACACAGTAACATATTTAGTATCAGCTCACATATGTAGGAGAAAATCTCAAATTGTGTGTGTGTATATGTATACATACATACATATATCAAAAATTTAACTGTGCTTATTTCTGTGTGGTGTGAGTTTTTTTCTTTTTGCTCATATGTATTTTTTAATGAACACATCACACATACAAAAAGAATTAAAGTTTTTTTTTATAATTAAGAGTCAATCAAATAATTTGCAACCAGCTTATAAGGGCAATGGGGGCACCTAAATTCTTGAAGAAAGAACTATTAAAAAAAATGTAAACCTCAAATTACCTCTGGATCTCTTAGCCAGGGGAATAAAACTGGCAGTTATCACAGAAAAAAAAAAAAAAAAAAAAAAAGACCACAAATGACAAATGTTGGTGAGGACGGGGAGAAAAGGGAACACTTGTACACTGCTGGTGGGAATGTAAGTTGGTGCATCCACTAGGGAAAATAATATGAAGGTTCCTCAAAAAACTAAAAATAGAACTACTTTATGATCCAGTAATTCCACTCCTGGGTATATATCCAAAGAAAATGAAAACATTAACTTGAAAAGATACATGTACCCCAATGTCATAGCAGCATTATTTGCAATAACCAAGGTATGGGAGCAACCTAAGTGTCCATCAACAGAAAATGGAGAAAGGAGATGTGATATATATGCTCAATGGAATACTCTTCGGCCATAAAAAAGAATGAAAATTTGCCATTTGCAACGATATGACTGGACTTGGAGGGTATTATGCTTAGTAAAATAAGTCAGAGAGAGAAAGATAAATACTGTATCTTAATCTAAGAAATAAATGAATGAATATAACAAAAATAAGCAGACACAGATATAGAGAACAAACTAGTGGTTACCAGTGGGGAGAGGGAAGGGTGTAGAGATAAGATACGGGTAGTGGATTAAGAGGTACAGACTACTATGTATAAAATAAATAAGCTACAAGGATATATTATACAGCACAAGGAATATAGCCAATATTTTGTAATAACTATAGGTAGAGTATAATTATAAAATTGTGAATCACTCTGTTGTACACCTGAGGTTAATAATATTGTAAATCAACTGTTCCTCAATAAAAAAAACCCAGAAAACCATATTATGGTATAAGTTTAGACATATAGATCAATGGAATAGAAGTGAGAGTCCAGAAAAAAAAACAAACCCTACATTTATGGTAAATTGGTTTTGAGAAGGGTGGCAAGTCACTTAAATGGGGAAAGAATAGTCTTTTTCAACAAATGATGCTGAGTCAACTGGACAGCCAGATGGAAAAGAATGAAGTTAAACATCTATCTCAGATCATGTACAAAAAAGAAAAAAAACTCAAAATAGAGCTAAAGCTATAAAACTCTTAGAAATACAACATAGGCCTAAATCTCTGTGACTTTACATTAGGCAATGATTTCTAAGGTATGACACCCAAAGTACAAGCAACAGTAGAAAAATTAGACAAATTATACTTTATCGAAAGTACTTGTATTGAAAATATATAAAGAACTCTTAATTCAACAATAAAAAGATAAAAACCCCAATTTTAAAGTGGGCTAAGAAATTGAATAGACATTTCTCCAAAGACCTAATAGCCAATAGCACATGAAAAGATGTTCGATGTCATCAGTCATTATGGAAATGCTAATCAAAACCACAATGAGAGGGACTTCCCTGGTGGCGCAGTGATAAAGAATCTGCCTGACAATTCAGGGGACATGGGTTCAAGTCCTGGTCCAGGAAGATTCCACATGCCACAGAGCAACTAAGCCTGTGCGCAGCAACTACTGAGCAAGCGCTCTAGAGCCCGTGAGTCACAACTACTGAGCCTGTGTGCCACACTACTGAAGCCAGCACACCTAGAGCCTGTGCTCTGCAACAAGAGAAGCGACCTCAATGAGAAGCCCACGCACTGCAATGAAGAGTAGCCCCTGCTCACCACAACTAGAGAAAGCCCGTGTGCAGCAACGAAGACTCAACGCAGCCAAAAATAAATAAAATAAAATAAATTAATTAAAAAGAAACAAAAAACCACAGTGAGATACTATTTCATACCCACTAGGGCAACTATAATAAAAAAGACAAATAGTAACAAGTGTTGGCCAGGATGCAGAGAAATTAGAACCCTCCTATATTGTTGGTAGGGAGGTAAAATGGTGTAGCCCCCTTGGAAAACAGTTCGGCAGTTTCTCAAAAAGTTAAACAGAGAGTTACCATACGCATGCTCATATTCCTTGGGGTGTCCCTGAGGCCTAGGTTTAAAGTGCATTTTCCCAGAGAGTATTTGAATTTGCTCTGCAAGGTGCTTCTGCCAGGCGGAGAAGTAGCAATCCAAGCCCACTTTAAACTACATTTTTAGTTGGAATCTTTTGTTTGTTTTTTGCATAGTTCAGAAATTTTGCCAAAGTCATGTTTTTCCTCCAACAAAACTTAAGTTGAGACAGACAAGAGTCACTGATAAATCCTTCTGTGTGGTATTTTCTTCCTTGTTTATAAGCTGAAGTAAAGTACTATACCTCCTTGGGGTTCTCAGATCCATGTAGGGATTTCCATCCAATCTTCCACCATAAGGGGACAAGCCTTTAGTTTTCTCTCCTGCTCACTGCACCTGTTAGAACTCAAGCTTTAGGCCATCCATGTAGACACATGCCTCCAGAGCAAACACCAACATTTGATTATATATATATATATGTATATATATACATTTTTAGGTGTCCTATACCAGGAGAGTTTCTCTAGACACCTAATCCTCCATAATGCCTGAAATGAAAAATCTGACAAAGCATATTTGTGCAGACGTTCACATTCCCCATCCACCCCCATCTCTAAGAAAAAGTCTTTAAGTAAACACTAGTCTCTGGGAAAATGTACCTTGTTCATTCTGTGACTTTGTACCCTCTGGACATTCTCATATCAACCATGGGTTCAGGAACACAGTGGAGGAGGGAAAGATTAGATTGAAAAGTTAAGTTGCAGTCACATTAAAACAGTCTTAAATGCAAAGATAGGAATATTTGGATTTCCAAATTATCACTTTTTGATTCAATAGGTTGAAATTCCAAGACAGACATGCTTCCAACTGACAATATATATATATTTTTCAAATAGGTTCTTTCATTCAAACTATTGATGGAAGAAATTTTTACATACTAAGGTATGGGGAAATAATTCTAGCTTATACACAAATTAACTTGAATTTTATGCTAACTAAAACAGCCTGTTTGTGGCCTATCAAACATACGTTGTACATCTGCTTTAATTATTACAGAAAAGGGCGCATTGACCATAAGTAAAGAGTGCACATGTTAAGAATAAAGATTAAATGCCTCCCTTCCTGGGACACCAATACTGGTATTCTTTCAATGATAAAGACTCCCTTCCTAGTCACCAAGGCCACACTGACTCACTGTGTACATGGTGATCTGGTTTTTTGAAGCTTTGAAAGAATATATCCCTTGTTTGACGTTCTTTGTTCTTATAAGATATAATACTGCTGAAAACTATGCTTCTCTGGAAGAATTCCTCAGAGTTATCTGAGAGGCTGTCTCCTTGGCTATAGTCCTCAGTTTGGCTCAAATAAAACTCTTTTCTATTCTTATTACAGGTTGTTTATTGATTATTTCCATCAACATTGCTTGGCATAGTTGGCAGGATATCAGAAAAACTCATCTGAGGTTACCTGGAGTCTATACTGGACCAGCGCCTTTGTACCAAGCACAGCCCCTTGAGCCCTCCTGGCTTCACAGACCCTTCAGGTGCGTTGGTGAGTTTTTTCTGATATCTAGATCTCCTTGTATTAAGTGACAGTCTATGACTTTTATTTGAGCTGTTATCTTAAGACTTGGAGTCTTAAAGGGGTACTGTTACATTTCCTAGGTGAAGAGGACCTAGGGAAAGATCCTAGGCAGAGGGTCTAGGAGTATAAACTTTAAAAATTGTGAATCACTATACCGTACACCCATAACATATAATGTTGTATATCAACTATACTTCAATTTTAAAAAAATAATGATTATATTTTATGGCCTGTCTACCTAAAAATAGTTTCTCCAATTTTTGGTAACTTGAAACTTTAGAGTTTTGCTAAGTTAAATTGAATGATGAGAATTCATTGAATATCCAGATCATTTCTCATTAAGATAAAATACTGAAACATTAATTGCTAAGCAAGTCTAAGTTTACCTACTTTTCTTACTAAAGAAAAACTAAAGATGTTTGGATTTATTAGACCCATGTCTTATACCACATTGAGGGAAGAATGTTATAAGAAAATGTACGTTTCTAGAGGTTATAAAATGTGTTCACAGATTTACCCATCAGGAAGTGCTGATATGACAGTTTACAATAGCCTGCTTCTCAAGAGATTAAGGTTTTTTAAGGGTTAAAAATTATAACATAGGTGTAATTAAAGCTACTAGAAGTAATAAGGGAAGCATTTCAGTATACAAGGAAAATAAGATGTGTGTTTTCAGTAAAAGGAGATAAGAAGAATGGAAATGCATTTTGTTAAGGGAAAAGAAAGTGATTTTGTCCTGAAGCACCTCAAAGAGAGATATTAAACTAATTAGGCTTATTTTGTATATTAAATTACATGGGAAGCATTGTCAAATAAAAGGTAACATTAAGCCTTCTTTATGTTGTGTTTATATATAAGTATTTGAGAAATTATATGAAATTCATATAAATCTTATATGTCCTAACATAAAATGTTATTTGTCATCAAAATTTAGGCTCACATGAAAGGGACTGAACCTGAGTATTAGGGAAATACCCTAGTTGACTTTCATACAAAAACAACAACGACAGGGACTTCCCTGGTGGTTCAGTGGTTAAGATTCCACGCTCCCAATGCAGGGGGCCTGGGTCAGGGAAGTAGATCCCACGTGCCGCAACGAAGATCCCACAGGCAGCAATGAAGATACTGCATGCCACAGCTAAGACCTGGTGCAGCCAAATAAATAAATAAATATTTTTTTTTAAAAAAAAAAACAACAAAGACAACACCAACAGAATCTGTAAAGATTATGGCACGTGTAGATAAAGTCCATTCTGTTTTTGCAAAAATTTACCCCTCATTGTCCGACTTTTGGCAAGAGTCTGCTCCTAGATCAGAGAAATTAAGATGGGTAAACAATAGCTGTGAATTAAACAGTCAGGGCTATGGGAAACCCAAAACAGCTTGGCACTTCTTGGCTCCCTGGCCAACCCCATCTTTTTGTTTGAAGGTTAAAGCCTCCCCTTGCTGCAAGCTGATGCCCTCACAATGAAAAAGAAACTTAGAAAATGTGTTTTCCACTTGGGGTATAGTTCTACAGTCTCCAGTGATCAAGGCACCCACTTACTGGGCAAATCAACAAAAACCTCACAAACTTCTTGAAATTATCACTGTCACTACTATCACCCTAAATCATCAGGCAATGTGGACAGAATTAATGGAGAAAACTGGACTCAAGTAGAACAAAAATTAATTACATGGCTTTGAATGAATAAATATGATTATAATTTTACAACTTTTTGTCTGAAATATTACTAGTTTTTAATCTTTGTTGTCCAGATGCAAGGGAAATTTTCGCCTTAAGCTAATTATGACTTACAGCAATTTAGTAAATTATACCCTTGTTAAGAGAATTGAAGCATTTACCTTTTATCTCTACCTGATCCCTCCAGAATTTGGAAACTCTTAGGTTCCCAGCAGGAGCTTTCCAGGAAGGAAGGAAGGCCACTTCCTGGCAGGTGCAGTAACCTCAAGATATTTTGGACCTCAAGAAGAGAGATATCCACCTAAATCTGTAGCTATTGCAGATGGGATCTGATGACAAGTCCTTGGCATGGCTCTCCTTGCCTTGAGAGGTCTTTTAAAAGTTCAGTTTGAGATTCCTTATGAAAAGTTCCAGCAAAGCAAAATTTAAAATAGCCTATACGATCAATTATACTTATATAAATAATCAGGCCAAATTTACTGAAACCAGACTTATTTAGCAAACAAACTGGTTTTAATTTAACTATATTTGATAGAAATAGGATAAGTTTAAAGATAAAAAATTATGTTTCAACAATATACCTTTATGGATATTAAGTTTTAGTGTTACTGTCTTTGAGGTTTGGTATTTCCTGCCTTCTACTCCCTAGTTGGCTTCTTGTTACTATGTTACATTATAATAAAATTTAATTGAATTATTAAAAGGATATTCTAAGCTTGTTTCTGAAGCTGATCACAGTAATCTATCTTTGGATGAAGATCAGTTGCCCCATGACCCACAACCAGGGGATTATACATACTGGAGAAAGACATCAATTAAAGGACTCTCTCTCCAACCTAGATGAAAGTGCCCTTATCAAGCATAGTAGCATAGGCACAATAAAACCGAAGGGCATTGACTCTTTAATTTATATTTTCTACTTAAGAAGGGCCTCTGCACTGGACTGGTCTATGGAAAGAACTGCTGACCTCCAACAACACTCACACCAGGATAAGAAAAAGATGACAACAGTAGTAAACAGCTTACCCAAGAACCCAGACCAGGACTGTGAGACCCATTCTACTAGTTCAGTTGAAAGCTTACCAAATGTGTGTCCCCCTGTCAAAATCTAAAGTTATTGTTTTACTTCTAGCTATACTTTTGACCCCATATTCAGGATGGCAAAAAAAATTCTTAGTAAATTTATCACAAAGTATACTTCTGGGGCAATGTAACCAATTGTTGGATCTATCATCAAATTCCTCAGTCAACATAAGACCAATACAGGCCCCTCTTAATACATATCACTGACTTTCAGATGTACTTAATATTGCCATCCCTCTAGACCAACCCCCCTCTGGCCTAACCTTTCACGTTCAAATTCTTCAACATACTAGATGGACACATTAGTGTGTCCATCTAGTATCCTCAGATACTATCCTCAGTCCTCAGAGACTGAGCACAACTTACCCCAGGATCCCTTCACTCTGTCTCTTACTCTATTGAAAAATGTCTTAAAGAGAAAAATGCAGATAAATTATGCCAGCAACTCCCATATGTTAAATACCATGCAGATGACTTTTGGAAAGCCTACAAGAGAAATGACCCATAGTTTAATATTGTGTTGACAAAACTTCCAGTTAATAAGGCTATCAATGAGAGCACTCTGGGAGGGATCACTTGTGCTCCCCCAGGTTTTGTCTTCATATGTGGTACTGGAACTGATCCACTTTCCCAAGGATGGGCATAGAAACGTCTTAATAACTGGTAAATAGAAGGTTTATATTTATAAGGACATTATGTTACCCCATTTTCTGCACATAAGGAAACAGATGAATTCCCTTCCTTTCTTCATTACAGAGTCAAAAGATTCATGTTAGCAAGAAACCAAGATACCTGGTGGCAAAATCTTTTGGGAATCCTGGTTCCTAATGCAAGAGTATATGCAAACAAAGAGATGATCAGAAATCTATCAGCCACTATTGGTCAAATAGCCAAAAGACTGTAAAAAGCATTTTAGCACAATAGACACCCCTAAATTCCTTAGCCCAAGTAATATTAGATAACAGGGTAGCCTTAGATTTTCTTTCTTTTTTTTCTAAATTAATTAATTTATTTTTGGCTGTGTTGGGTTTTCGTTGTTGCGTGTGGGTTTTTTCTAGCTGCGACGAGTGGGGGCTACTCTTCGTAGCCGTGCGTGGACTTCTCATTGTTGTGGAGCACAGGCTCTAAGTGTGCGGGCTTCAGCAGTTGTGGTGCGCGGGCTCAGTAGTTGTGGCACATAGACGTAGTTGCTCCACAGCCTGTGAGATCTTCCTGGACCAGGGCTGAACCCGTGTCCCCTGCATTGGCAGGTAGATTCTTAACCACTGCGCCACCAGGGAAGTCCCTGCCTTAGATTTTCTATGGGCTAAACAAGGAGGTATTTGTGCTATTACTCATACTACTTGTTACACATATCAATACCTCTGGAGAAGTTGACACACCCAGAAAAAATTTCCCCAAAAGCAAAATAGTTACAAGATGTAAGAAAAACTAACCCTTTAAATGATCTGTTCAGTAGACTCCCCTCAGGAATAGACAATTTTTTTCTGTTTTGCTTTACAGACGATTATCATTGTCACAGTATGTATTAGTATTCTTTTCCTAGCTATCATGACATGTATCACTGCTTGCTTTAAGCCTACTGCTAAAAGTATGTGTACAATGTTTGTGTGACCATTCAGTGCAATTGCTAAAGTGTACAGTCTCTAAAATATTTTCCCATTCGCATACCTGTGTGCTTTTTCACTATATCTGATTAGTTTACCCTCAATGTGGATAACTAGGCAAATCTCTATACACATATAAACAACAACAAAAAAGAGGCCTAGCCCTGAGGGACATGATGGACCCAGGGCAAGCAGCAATCACTCTGGCATCAAGGGACAAATATTTTGATCATCAATGCTTTCTGTTGAAAGATTTACAATCTAAAGGGGGAAGTGATGAAAGAAATTTTCACATACTGAGGTATGGGGAAGTCATTCTGGCTTAAATGTGAGTTAACTTGAATGTTGTACTAACTAAAACAGCCTGGTTTTAGCTTACCAAACATACATTATACATCTGCTTTATTTTATTTTTTTTATTGAAATGTAGTTGATTTACAATGTTGTATTAATATATCTGCTTAAATTATTAAAGAAAAGTATACACTGACCAGTAGTAAAGAATGTCCATGTTAAAAATAAAGATTAGGGAATTCCCCGGTGATCCAGTGGTTAGTACTCCACGCTCTCACTGCTGAGGGCCTGGGTTCAATCCCTGACCGGAAAATTAAGATCCCGCAAGACACGTGGCGTGGCCATAAAATAAAATAAAATAAAATAAGATTAAATGGCTCCCCTCCTTGAATGCCAATGCTGGTATTCCTTCAATGGTGAGACTCCCTTCCCAGACACCAAGGTGATACCAACTCATTGTGAACAGGGTGATCTCTTTTTTTTGAAACGTTGCAGGAATGTATCCCTGACTTGTTTGATGGTCTTTGTTCCAACAATATATAAAACCATGCTGAAAACAGTGCTTCTCCAAAGCAGTTCCTCACAGTTATCTGAGAAGCTGTCTCTGGGGCTATAGTCTTCAATTTGGCTCAAATAAAACTCTTTTCTATTCCTACTATAGATTGTTTATTGATTATTTCCATCAACACAGCTAACTGGTTCATGTGTGCCTGACACTGGTTTCATGCTGTATGGAGTAAAAGAAATCATTAAAGACAAGTTCTGTCCTTAAGTAGTTTATAAGGAAACGTTTATCTGGGAAACATTTCTTGTATGCAAATAATTACCACATAAAGCAAAAGAAGTGCTAAATTAATGGTGAGAGTTCAGACAGCTAAACAGGTTCAAAGTAGGGAGTAGTACTTCCAACGTGGACTGGGGGGAGGGTGACCAATGATCCTGGTTTGGCTGGGGACTGAAGGGCTTCCTGGGACACAGAACCTTCAGAGAGAAATGCAAGATAGTCCTGGGCAAATAGGCCAGCTGGTTACCTTAATAAAGGCAGTGTTGTAGGCGGAGTCAGAGAAGGCCTTGTGGAGGACAGGAGATGGAAATTGAAAAGAACCCTGTAGAATTAGTTGGATTGGATTGGCTACCTTCATTAATACTTTTGACATATATACAAACTAACCCCCTTCACCACTCTTACCCATAGCAGTCCTAACAATTGTGCAGTGATTCCATTTTCGTGAGTACTTTCTTTTGATTGTCATGTGGGTTGAAATCTTTTATCAAACATTGGCTTCTACCTTCACTATTGTACCTGTGTATCCTACATAGTTTTCTAATTTCCAGTTGCTCTACTTCCCTTCAATACTGTGTTAAATGAGAGCTTTTTGTAATGCCTCCTCCTCTCCAAATGTATTAAATTACAATGGAGTCTGTATGGGTGGGTCAAAAATTAGAAAGAAGGCTGCTTAGAAGCAAAAATGTGTCTTCATTTGAATACAGATTCTCATAAGCAAGAGTTAGCTGACCTTAAACCAGAGAGGGGAAGTGTCCACCTATGTGAAATACTGTAAACGAAAGCTTATCAAATTTTAATGTGTAAAGAAACTACCACCTCCTCCTCCTATCTTGTAAAAATTGCAGATTTTGACTAGTAGGGCTGGGAGGGCCTAGGATTCTGAATTTCTAATAAGCCCCCAGGTGATTCCATTGCTACTGGTCCTAGTACCATACTTGGGGTAACAAGGCTGTAAAGCAGAAAGGCCCTTTCTGGCGCTTGTACTTGCCCAAATTTCCCTCCACTCCCTAAAATTCTTTTACTTTGTTGCTGAGTATGGAAGTCCACCAATTATACTTTCTGAAACAAGGTGCAGATATATTCACTACTTAACATTAACTTGTTTAATCAGATAGTTTTCCTCATTATACTCACTGAGTTAGGAACTTTAAGAATGGACATTGATTATTGTGGGTAAGTAATAAAGAGTTTAGTAATGAGGCACTGTATTAAAGGGTGAGCATAAAGGTGGAACATGAAGAGTTTAGGAAGAAAGGTGGGTATTGGGCATCTGCAGAGTTCTGTGAAAGCAGGGGCACTTGGGGTTCTGCCAAAGGCCATATTAGCAAATAGGAGGAAGTGAAGAGGCGAGACGCTATTTATAATGAACCTCATAGTTTCATAGCCTTGCCTTGGGCCAGTCTGAGGAAACCTGATCCTAATAAAAATAGCAAGTCTAGTCCTTATTTTTATAGAAAGATAATATGACGCCTGTATATATCAGTAAAGATTCACTGTTTTTTCTCAATTTGCTTATGCAGTTGTGAAATTCAAGAAGTTAGTTTGGTAAATGCACATGCTAGTTGAAACTGTAGGAAATGTCTTCTAATAAATATGTAAGATTTCAAGGTAGGATTTAGAGCTAAAATTATGACCAGTGACTGACAACACAGAATAATAGTGCTTAAATGAGTCAGAGATCACCGAGCCTTTTTATCCTATGGATGCAGAAACTGAAAACAAGCAGGTTTAAATGGACTTCTCAACTTCGTTCAGGTAGTTAATATAATAGTGTGGACTTGACTACCATGACTGTTGACTTTTAACCAAGGGCTTTCTATAATACTATGTACAAGTTAAAAAACCCAGGTTAACATTTCCCCAAAGGTTTCACATTTTAATGTAAGTTTTTTTTTTTAATGTATATAAGTTTTTTTTTTTTTAGGCCACACAGCATGTGGGAATCTTAGTTCCCCAAGCAGGGATCGAACCCATGCCCCCTGCATTGGGAGCGCAGAGTCTTAACCACTAGACCATCAGGGAGGTCCTATATAGAAGCATTTTTGTGCTTAACGATCTTGTACTTAATGGTTCAATTACTTTTGACAAATTTCCAATTTTTTGAAACTTTTCTTTTCTTTCTTTCTTTCATTCTTTCTTTCTTATAAATCCTTGTGTCACGAGCTCCATTTTAAAAAAATTTCTAGGAGACCTATGCAATTTATTATAAATGAGATCAACACCAAGATAAACCCATTTATTTTCTGAACATATTCCAGGTGTCACCAAGAGCCCTCCTTTTTTTTTTTTAACATCTTTATTGGAGTATAATTGCTTTACAATGTTGTGTTAGTTTCTGCTTTATAACAAAGTGAATCAGCTGTATGTATACATATATCCCCATATCCCTTCCCTCTTGCACCTCCCTCCCACCCTCCCTACCCCACCCCTCTAGGTGGTCACAAAGCACTGAGTTGATCTCCCTGTGCTATGCAGCTGCTTCCCACTAACTACCTATTTTACATTTGGTAGTGTATATATGTCAATGCTACTCTCTCACTTCGTCCCAGCTTACCCTTCCCACTCCCCGTGTCAAGGGCCCTCCTTTTGATAAAACAGTAAAATCTCCTCTCTTATCCTGAAAGTAAGCCTGGTTTTCTTCTGAAATTCCTCCACCTACTATACACATATTTCCATGTCTGAATTTGGATAGCTAAAGGCAGATGCGAAGTAGAAGTTAGAGTCAAATGAGATATACATGTGGGTCCTGACCTCTGATGTTACCCCACCTGTCAGCTTAGCCTACTTGGTTAGGACACACCTTGAAGCAGTTGGAAAGTAAATATTAAACAAATAAAGGTTAGTATGTACTACTTCACAATGGAGATTGTAAAGCAGTGAAATTTCTCACCAGGAAAGTCACAGACTAATATGTTACTTTCCCAGGCTCCACCTTTCCCCTTGTCAAAAATGTATTATGATATCAGACTTTCATACTCTAATGTGAGTTTTTTTGTTATGTTTTTTATTTTTTTTGCGGTACGTGGGCCTCTCACTGTTGTGGCCTCTCCCGTTGTGGAGCACAGGCTCTGGACGTGCAGGCTCAACGGCCATGGCTCACGGGCCCAGCCACTCTGCGGCATGTGGGATCTTCCAGGACCGGGGCACGAACCCGTGTCACCTGCATTGGCAGGCGGACTCTCAACCACTGCGCCACCAGGGAAGCCCTCTAATGTGAGTTTTAACTCAACTTATTGCATTTTCTAAAACAATTTGGATCTTATACCTCTGTGCTACTCTACATAAGAGTGACAAAAATGTGAGGTCTCCAATCTTATCTGTTACTGACATTGGTAGAGGACAAGAAAGCATTGTTTTAGTGGAGAAGGTTTTCAGAACCCCTGAAATCTCACTTGGTAGAGAACAGACTATTCTGGCATTATGGTTCTGGTGCCTGCAGGTTAATTCATTAGGTAATAAAGCACAGAGTTCACTATAGTTAGCCTAAAAGGTGAATGCAAAATTTTGGATTCAATGTCTCTGAAAACCTTTTTAGAGGAGTTCTTCAAATACAAGAGAACTGAATTTATGTTATGCCAGCAGGACTTTCTTTTTAGTGCCCCATTCAGTGGAATTTTATTTGGAATACTTCTGGATGTTAATTTATAATGTCTTCAGGACTTATGTTTAAACAACATGTTTTTAAATAGATTACTTTAGAGGCTGATGAATCAGAATAATAAAAATAAGAAATATGTACATTCATTTCTCAGAGGAAAGGCATTAGATAAACCCAGAGTAATACTGGTATTTATTGTCTTAAGATTGCTCTTTCTTTTCCTAGCTCAAGAAATGTACTTAATAATTTTCTGAATGTCTCTAAAAGTCCGGATGTCATTTCTCTATGTTGAAATTTTGTCTGTTTTAATGAGATTTAATTTATATACAGCAAAACTCACCTGTCAGAGATATTTAATTGTCCTATAAATCGATCCAATGAAATAATCACTGCTAATGTTTTAACAGGTATGGACTTATTAATGTGTTCTCTAATAGAATTACACTCTGGGAACTTTTTGAAATAGAGTCTTACCCAAAGTCAAGATTCTTCTGGAATGATTCCAAGGATGCTTGCAAATCTGTGGTCAGAGTATTTTGGAACAGACAGTTCTCAAAACAATCTTACCACATAGACCCTTAACTAGCAGCCCAATCCTTTATAACAGTATGACTGGACTGCCTCTATAAAAATTTTCCCTATAATTGCAGAGCTAAATGAGAATTCCCCTTTCTGATATGTAGAACCTTTTTACAGGTCAAGAATGAGATAGTATAAAGTAAATCCCTTCAGTGTGAGAGACAGAACATAGCATGTAGAAATTTGTGCTTTCCTTTTCTAAAAAAATAAATAACTAGCACACATCCCTCTAATACCTTTTTTACCAGAATACCTTTAAATATAATCATTTGGCAAATGAATAAATATTTACTGAGCACCTACTATGTGTCAGACACTATGCTGTGTGGTTTTAAACGTACACATTTCATTATTCTTACTATACCCATTCTTCCCTTTTATAAAGCCAATCCAGTGTTTACAATGCTTACAATCAAGGCTCTAAATTTCACATATGTAAATATAAATAAAATGGTTATATGATTTATATATCCATTAGACCATATTACTTGAGGTAAAAGACTACCTGTTCACTTTTCTACCTCTGAGCCTGAGCCTAGTCCAATGCCTGCCACTTAGTACATAGGATCTCATTAAATCGTTTTTGAATAATTCTTTTTTTGGGGGGGCTGGTCCTGTGGCTTGCTGGGTCTTATTTCCCTGACCAGGGATCGAACCCAGGCCATAGCAGTGAAAGGGCCAAGTCCTAACCACTGGACAGCCAGGGAATTCCCTGGAATAATTCTTAAAGAAATTGTGGAATGGTTTGTTGGACAGATCATTGTGATTAGTTCTTCATAAGTGTATTACTGATATAAATGGTGTTTCAAGTTACTAGGTAAAGGGGAGTAAAATGTGAACTTGACCTTCCTCAACAGTGCTTTGTACGTAATGGGTACTCAATAAAGATTTAATTAAATTGGGAATTTTAAAAAGCATTGTGAGGGGTACAAAGCTCTGTATGACATGGTTTTATAAAAATATATGTAATCAGAGACTCCACTTCCCTAGTCCCCAGGCTTGGGGTTTACTCATGCCCTAGTTTTTCCTCAGAGTGTGAATACTGGATCCTTGTAGTCTAGGACGCTTGGAGAATCCAGGGTAACCAGTGCACAGAATTTCTTGCTACTATCATGAAATGGAATGCTGATAGCAAATGGCAACTGGCCTCTACAGAGTGCTGGCTGGTCCTCTGTTCTGGCTTCTGCCAAGGCACTGGCAGGATACTTGTTCATAACAATATCCTCTATCCACATGCACTGCTGCCTTATGGGCCATAATCTGGTTCTGGACCCAGAATCAGGATGTGCTCAAGTATTTGCTACTTTATGGACCCAAGGCTCTGGCTAATTTTTCTCTTTTCCTCTTTGGAAGCAGGGCAAATTACTGCTAAATTTAGCTCCAAACGGAAAGATACATTGTTTTTCTAGCCTGAAGTTCCAGCCAAGCCTTCATCCTCAGAGTTATGACCATCTTTTAAGTCCCTGGGCCCCACAGAAGAGAAGAAATAGCTCTTTATTTGTATTTATGGGCCCTCCTTCCTGTACTTTCCTTGGTTCCTGCCATGGGATTCAAAGAATGGACAGTGACTACCTTTTAGGCAGCCAAGTGGGCGATGGTCTTGCTTGGACGTGGCCAGCCCCCATACTGCCTATTTTCTGTTGTTTTGTGGGCATTCCAGCCTCTTCTCTCCATCTTGGATCCTTTGCTACCTATGAAAGGAGAAAGAGCTTCTATCAGCCTTGGGATCCTCTTTTCTCTGGGTTCACCTTTGTTTCTTGAAAACTCCAAAACATTGCTTAGCTTTTATGGTTCTCCTTTGTGCAGCCTTCTATAAATACCCATCTTTTCCCGAGCAAATAAAAGCAAGGACATAGCTGGGCGGTTCCTCCTGGCCTTAAGACTCTTCGATGATTAATCCCAAACAAAGCTCAGAGCTGCTAACATTCCCAATTGACTGTAGGGACCTTAGAGTGGGTCTTGATGGCTCTTTGAAAAGGATTAAGTCTTCTTTTCCTCTTTCAGAATTAACCTCCTTAATTCTAGAAATCTTGGAGGCAGTTTCACAGCTTTAGCCTATATCTCTGCCCTTCATTAAAAGCAATGTCTCGGGCTTCCCTGGTGGCGCAGTGGTTGAGAGTCCGCCTGCCGATGCAGGGGACGCGGGTTCGTGCCCCCGTCCAGGAGGATCCCACATGCCGCGGAGCAGCTGGGCCTGTGAGCCATGGCCTCTGGGCCTGTGCGTCCGGAGCCTGTGCTCCGCGGCGGGAGGGGCCACAGCGGTGAGAGGCCCACGTACTGTAAAAGCAATGTCTCTGATAACTTGATTTCTCTATGGCATCCACTGGAGATAAGTTTTTGGAGCAAAGCCCCTAAATGTGTATGATGTCTTAATAGTTTTGAATTTGGAGCTTCCCCTTTCTCTGAGTCTAGTCTTAAAACTTTTGACCAGAGAGATCTGACGATTCTCTATATTCTCAAAAAAATGTTTGTTTAAGTCTTAAGGTCCTAAATCCTAATACATGCAACAACATGGATGGATCTCAAAAGCATTATCCTAAGTGAAACAAGACAGACTCACAAAGTTACATACTATATGATTCCATTTATATGATATTCTAGAAAAGGCAGAGGTCATAGGGACAGAAAACACATCAGTGGATGCCAGGGACTGGCAGGGGTTGGGGGAGGGGTTGATTACAAAGAGGGCAGTTTTTTAGGAGATAGAAGAACTGTTCCATATCTTGATTTTGGTGGTAGTTAAATGACTCAAAACTCACAGAAATGTACTAGTGTACAGTGTTAGTAAAGAGTGAGTTTTAACATATATAATCATAATTTTAAAAAATGGAAGAAACTGTTTCACTCAGATACTTTTTTTTTTTGGTTTTATTTTTGGCAGAGCTGGGTCTTCGTTGCTGCTTGAGGGCTTCTCGTTGCAGTGGCTTCTCTTGTTGTGGAGCACGGGCTCTAGGCGCATGGGCTTCAGTAGTTGCAGCACGTGGGCTCAGTAGTTGTGGCTCACAGCCTTCAGTAGTTGTGGCGCACGGGCTTAGTTGCTCCGTGGCATGTGAGATCTTCCCGGACCAGGGCTCGAACCCACGTGCCCTTGCATTGGCAGGCGGATTTTTAACCACTGCGCCACCAGGGAAGTCCCCCAGATACTTTTAAGAACCTACAAACACTTGGGGGTGGGGTGGGTGATGGTGGTGGGATGACTTGGGAGATTGGGATTGACATATATACACTAATACATATAAAATAGATAATAAGAACCTGCTGTATAAAATAAAATAAAATAAAATTCAAAAGAAAAGAACCTACAAACACTTCACCACATTTATAAAGATATTTTCTACACGGGGTCATCAATAACTTTTAGGGCACCATCATTGGAACACTATATTGATATCTAGTCCCCTTCTAATATCTGCTGCTTTTGTAGGACTTCAGCAATTTGTCCTAAAATTTTATTTCTTTCTTTCCCGGGGGTGGAAAGGTCATTCCAGATAATACCCTCAGATTCTGGAAATCATTACTTCTATCACAGGCTGAATGCCCTTTCCCACAGACTATTGCAACATAACGCGTTAGGCATGTCTCTGATGGCTTATCCAGGCTTGGGGTAATTTGCGTTTTCTTGAACACCAAGACGCCACAGTCCTTGCTTCAGGAAGAGTGCTGTAATCTTTTAGAAAGTTTTGGAGTCTGAGTTAGAAACTTAATAAACTACCTTCTATATGTCTACATTACACAAAACTCTCCAGGGATGCGGATCACAAAGAAGAAATATCATCATGTCCTCTCTCCTGCATATTCTGCCAACCACTCTATATCTGCCTGGTTTTGAAGCATAGTTTAGAATCCTTTCAAGCTCAGACTCACCACAGACTCTAGTCTCTATCTACCACATTAGCAGGGACTTTAAGTATCTCATCCATCCATGTGCCCTAGCCTGTCTGTAGCATCATAGCCATTGTCTAAAAAATATTCAATACTTCCCACTTTGGGAGTTTCAATTAGTCCATACTATAAGTATGTGCTAGAAGGGAATTCATAGATATCCTGGATAAGGCCCCTGGTAACATTGTCTCCATGAACACATGATACAAATACTGTCCCACCTTTTCATCTTCCCAAATAAATTGCACTAGTCCCAAATCCACTTATCAGGAAGTCTAGAATTGCTGTCTCTTCAGGTTCCTTTCCTCCCCCTGAATTTTCAATTAACTCAAGGCCTTAAGCAGTTCAAAAGTTCAGTCTGACATCCTGCCTGTGACAAAGACTGTCAGCTGGTCACCAAAGCTAGGATTGTTAGATTTAGCATGTAAACATACAAGATGCCCAAATATTATATGGAACATAACTTATACTAAAAAAATTGTTTGTTGTTTATCTGAAATTTAAATTTAACTAGGTGTCCTATATTTTATCTGGCAATCCTACACCAACCATTTCTTCTCTCTGGACATACAGCTCTACTATATTTCCCAGCTTCTCTTGCAGTTAGGTGGGATCATGTCACTGAGTTCTAGCCATTAAAACCTCTCAAGCACAATCCTCCTTTCTCTTTTTCTTTCCAGCTGGATGGGGAATCCATCTGGTAAAGATGATGGGGCCACAAGATGGAGGGATTCTGGGTACCTACATCATCACTGGGAGATGCCCAGGAGAATCACCCAGGACAGTCAGGTGCCATGACCCATGAACACTGCATTAAATGTTATTTTTATTGTTAAACCACTGAGATTGAGCATTAATTTATTATAGCAGATAGTCTTACCTTAACCAATACAGGACATTTGTATCTTGAAATGGATGGAGTGCTGTTATCTTAGTCTGTTCAGCTGCTGTAACAGAATACCATACACCGAGTGGCTTATAAACAACAGAAATTTATTTCTCACAGCTCTGGAGGCTGGGAAGTCCAAGATCAAGGTGCTGGCAGATTCTGTGCCTGGTGAGGCCCTGCTTCCGTGTTCATAGATGGCCATCTTTTTGCTGTGTCTTCACATAGCAGAAAGGAGAATGGATTTCTCTGTGGTCTCTTTTAAAAGGGCAAAATCTCATTCATAGAGCTCTGCAGCTAACATATACAAAACCTTAAAATCTGTGACATTAGCTTAGTGGATCAGCAGTGGGAAGTAAGGAAACAGATATCCAAACTTAGAAAAATGGAGATGCATATTATGTGCTAAAAAAAGATTTGATAAGACGTCACTTGAAATAACTTAGAAGGATGACTGTGTGCCTAAACGCATTTGTAATTCTAGGGCAGAGAGGTTAATCTTTTCATCTCTTCTCTTTCTTTTTTCCCTTCCTTCCTTCCTTTCCTTTTTTCGTTTTGGTACCATGTACCCCTATGGCAGTTTGGTGAAGCTGACAGACCCCATTTCAAAGTAATATTTTTAAATGTATGAAATAAAATGTGTACCAGAAAACCAACTGTACTGACAAATGCTTAGGAAAATACTTTTAAAAAGCAAAGATGTTGGGGCTTCCCTGGTGGCGCTGTGGTTGAGAGTCTGCCTGCCGATGCAGGGGACACGGGTTCGTGCCCCGGTTTGGGAGGATCCCACATGCCGCGGAGCGGCTGGGCCCGTGAGCCATGGCCGCTGGGCCTGCGCGTCTGGAGCCTGTGCTCCGCAACGGGAGAGGCCACAACAGTGAGAGACCTGTGTACCGCAAAAAAAAAAAAAAAAAAAAAAAAAAAGCAAAGGTGTGATACAGTAACATATATGCATCTTTATTAATCCATTAAATAACAAGATCTAGGAATGTGTGATAGTTAATTTTATGTGTTAACTTGACTGGGCACTAGGTGCCCAAGTATTTGGTCAAACATTCCTGGTGTGTCTGTGAGTGTGTTTCTGGATGAGATTAGTATTTGAATTAGTAGACAAGCAAAGCAGATTGCCCTCCCCAATGTAGGTGGGCCTCATCCAATCCACTGCAGGCCTGAATAGAATAAAAATGCTGAGTAAGGGAGAATTCATTCACTCTTTGCCTGACTGTCTTCAAGCTGGGACACCGGTATTCTGTCTTGAGGCTCAGACTTGGACTAAAACTTACATCATTGGCTCTCCTGGGTCTCAGGCCTCCAGACTCAGACTAGAACTCTACCATCAGCTCTCCTGGGTCTCCAGCCTGCCAACTGCAAATCTTGGGACTATCATAATTTCAAAGTAGTAATGATTATATGAGTGTAAACAGTATCTTGAGGTATGTTACAACATGTATACAACAACTATAATATTATATGAATAAACCTGGGACATAATTCACAGGAGCTGCTAATACTACTGTGATTTGTTGCCTACATTCATAACTAAATAAAGGAAATGTTAACTTTCAGTTGCGGTTAGTGAAAATAAAGATGTAATTTGTTTTCCATGTTGGTTGGAGAACACTGTTGGTTCTCTGCCTGATCTCCTCAGATCCTTTGTAGGGGTTCCATCTGCTAATCCCACAGTTTCTATTACCTTTGCTTTACCAGCTTTCACCTGAGACATTTCAGAGCACTGTCCTTGGGCTACGGGAGCCCTTTGTCTACAGATGTAGAAATTTGGAAATTCATGGGTATTTAAGTCCAGAGGGCAGCCATGGCCAGTAAGTGACTGGTGAGGATGTATGACAACCCAGCTTCTTTGCTCTGAGGTATAACATATGCTCCAGAGTTCCCCTGTTGGATCTAGCTGAGGTTGGAACTTTGCCTAAAATTGCATCCTATCATTATTCTGTTTTTCCCTCATTCCTGGTTAATCCTTAATAAATCACTTGCACATGAATCCTCATTTCAGTGTCTGCTTCCAGACAACTTGACTTAATACCCCATCCAGGTTACAAATCCTTAGGTCAAGAATCCCTGCTCTAGGGAAGTGGTTGGAAAGAGTTTGAATGCTAGTGTATTTGAGTTTTAACTTTCTGCTCTCAGCAAGTTATTCTTGAAAGAGATGAGTGTAGGCTAGAATTGAGCTGGACTCAATTCAGGCAGAGATCAAAGAGGATGAGGAAAACCCAGAGATCATGAGCTTTATAGGGCTGGGAAATCCTATGGCTTCTAGATTGCAAATATTAAGGGATAAGATAAAAAAAAAAGCCTTGAGAGAAAAAGGCTCATCAAGACTACTAAGTAAACAAAATGACAGCTGTGTGGTAATTAGGCAATTACGGATGTTTTGTTCTCTGCCAGCACTTAAGGTAACCACTTTTTAGGTGAAAGAGCAAATCATGAGGTAAAGAAGCAAAGAATTAAGATGACACAGAGAAGTGGATCTAGATTTAGCAAATAAAAATACAGGATACCCAATATTTTATCTGGCAACCCTAGGTCTAGTAAATAACTTTGGGAGTAGTTACTGGCACCTGAGTCTCAAAGCAAATAGATCAGAAGAGCCAAGTTCTGGAACTTGGAATTGTATTGATAAAGAACCCACAAGCCTAGTCTATAAAGCTTTTGCCTGTCCAGGAAATTTTAAAACAGCTCTCAAGCCTCCACATCTGCGTGGGCAGGGAGCACACTGTGAAAGCCCCCAAAGGTGATGCGCTCTCTGACATTGTCTTCAGATGTGGCCATGAAGGATAATGGAAAAGGAAGAGGCTCTTAGAAGATGGAGCCAGGGACTGCAGAGAAAACTGGGAACAGAAATTCTTCCCAAAGAGCAGGACCATGGTCTAATCAAGGAAATTCTTCCACCCCAAGACAGAGGTCTTCACAGTGCCTGCGCAGCTGGTTTTCACAATTGCAAAGGACTGGCAACTGTGTGTTAACTCCTGTTCTTCTTGTTCCTGAATGGGGGTTTGTTTGTTTGTTTGTTTGTTTTACTGTGGATAGTATGTCCTAGCTCTGCCATTGAATGTAGGGGATGGGAGAGGACAATTTACAAAAAACTTGTTTTCCTAATTCTAAAGTCATCAGACCATGAGGAGCTATACCCAGACCTAGTGGAAAATACTGTGTCACCCAGAGATCCTGGATTTTGAGCTTGATGTAATGACTGGAAGAGACTTTGAGTTGTTTCCCTTGGTGCAGAAAGAGGATTGTGTTCTGTATATGGTAAAAAGGGATGAAATGGATATTTGATGGCCAGGAGAGAAGACTGTGGCAGAGACCAAACCCACGTTCTCTTCTTCCTGGGCACATAGTTTGACAACAGTTCCTAGTCTTTCTTGCAGTTAGGTGTGCCCATTTGTCTGAAAAATATAGTAACTTCTAGGCCGGGTCCATAAAAACTTCCCAGGATTGGGGAATTCCCTGGCGGTCCAGTGGCTAGAGCTCGGTGCTTTCACTGCCAGGGCCCAGGTTCAATCCCTGGTCGGGGCCCAGGTTCAATCCCTGGTCGGGGAACTAAGATCCCGCCAGCCATGCAGCATGGCCAAAAACAAACAAAAAACAAACAAACAAAAAGCTTCCCAGGAGTGATCCTTCATGCTTGTCCCCTATCCCCCACTTCTGATCACTGGAAGGTAATGATCCCCAGAGCAACCTTGGGAACACAATATTGAAGGTGGCAGAACCACACGGAGGAACTTGGGTACTTGAGTCACCATTCAGAGGAGAGCTGCCTAAGAGAACCACCTAAACAGAAACACACACTTTGGACTGTTGGGTGAATGAAGAGTATGCTAAACTACTGAGATTTTGCCGACTCACCTAATATTTAGATTAAGCGGCTCTCAAAATATGGCCCCAGACCAGCAGTGTCAGTATCACCTGGCAACTTGTTAGAAATCCAAATTTTCAGTCTCTTACCCAGATCAGAACTCCGGAGATGGGGCCCAGCCAGCCTCCAGTTGATCCTGATGCACACTGAAGTTTGAGAACGACTGACTAAGGAAACAGCTGGTGTTAACTAATACAATATCCAAGTGGGCAGTCCCTAAAGTGGACCAGTCTACTGTTCCTATTGTTTCACAGTGATGCTACTGACCACTGGTCTAACTCTACTGACAGAAGATACTGGTACCCTTCTGACCCTGATCTCAGCACAGGCCATGATAGAACCTTGAGGGAGGATGGTCCTTTTCATTCAGTGATAAGCTCATCTAAGGTTGATTTTCAAAGGGGTTTCATTGGTGTGCGTTTTTCTCAGACCCATTACCTCATAGACCAGGCACCACAAGAGCACTGTATCAGTTAGGATGATCGACTTTTCCTGGTTTGCCTGGGACTTTCCTGGTTTTAACAATGAAAGTTTCTTGTCCTAGGAAACGATCCCCTGTCTCAGACCATCTGGGACTGTAATAGGGAAGAACCTTCATATTCTATTACAAGTTAATCACTAAAGGGATGCTGCCTATAAGCTTAAATTATACAAAATGGCCCATCTCTGGGAACCCTGCCTTCCAGGTAATAAATATTAAGCTAAAATACCTTTGTTTAGCTCACAGGAATCATCCTGACCAGGCCCACCTGTGAATGACTGCAAGCAGGAAGAAATGAACACATCCCCTCTGGAGGCTGACCAGAACCAGAAAATGTTTGACTTTACTCCCTTCCCTTTTAGTATAAAAGAACCCTGAATTCTGACTCAGGCAAGATGGTTCTTTGGAACACGAGTCCACCATCTTCTCGGTCTGCCAGCTTTCCAAATAAAGTCGCTAATCCTTGCTCCAACGACTCGTCTCTTGATCTGTGGGCCTGTCACACAGCAAGCAGTATGAGCTTGGACTTGGTAACAGGATGTTTGGTCACCTTAGTCAATGTGGGTTGAAATGTTCACCATTTGTGGCCCAGAGCCTTTTTTCTCACAAGGGTGATCCATAACTCAACAAGTCAGGAAACTTTTATTTTTCAACTCCCAAACACAAAAGTCCTAATTACACTATCTTTCCAAGATAATTGACCTACTTATCTTTGAAGCCAGATACACTGACTGTCTTATAGTTCTCTGCACACCTGCTTTTGTGGATGTGTGATTGCCGGGGTAGGGGTGGGGGATCTCTTTCATGGTCAATGGATAAAGGTGACCAAGGTAACTTTCGAGTGCTTATCTCACTAAAGGGAGGGAGGAAGGGTAGGTACATTGATGTGTACCCCAACTTTATTTTTTATTAAAAAATTTTTTTTTGCATTTTATTTTATTTTTTATTGAGGTATAGTTGATTTACAATATTATGTAAGTTTCAGGTGTACAACATAGTTAAAATTTTTAATGTTATTAAAAATTTATAGTTATTTAAAACTATTGGCTATATTTCCTTTGCTGTACAATACATCCCGTAGCTTATTTATTTTATAGAGTATCCCAACTTTATAATGCAAGGTAGAATGTTAACTTTGCTGTGAATAATACACAAGATAAGGATTTCTTGGGACTTCCCTGGTGGTGCAGTGGTTAAGAATAGGCCTGCCAATGCAAGGGACACGGGTTCAATCCCTCGCCCAGGAAGACCCCACATGCTGCGGAGTAACTAAGCCCGTGCTCTAGAGCCCACAAGCCACAACTACTGAGCCTGCATGCCACAACTACTGAAGCCTGCACTCCTAGAGCCCGTGCTCTGCAACAAGAGAAGCCTCTGCAGTGAGAAGACCGTGCACTGCATTGAAGAGTAGCCTCCACTTGCCGCAACTAGAGAAAGCCTGCACACAGCAATGAAGACCCAACCCAGCCAAAAATAAAAATAAAGAAATGCACATCCTCTATTAAAAAAAAAAAGATAAGCATTTCTTCTTTCCTTACTTTCTTTAGGACTCATTCAGAACACTGGTTTTCAATGGTGGGTGTGGGGTACATATCTAAGTTAAGTGGGGGAGAGTTTTTTTTTTTTGCGGTATGCGGGCCTCTCACTGTTGCGGAGCACAGGCTCCGGACGCGCAGGCTCAGCGGCTATGGCTCACGGGCCTAGCTGCTCCGCGGCATGTGGGTTCTTCCCGGACCGGGGCACGAACCCGTGTTCCCTGCATCAGCAGGCAGACTTTCAACCACTGCGCCACCAGGGAAGCCCCGGGGAGATATTTTTTGAAGTACAAATCCTCCAGTGATATGGAGTGCTGACTGGCCCTTAAATCCTGCCTGCTTCAAACTCATTAAAAACCTGGGGTTGGTTCCAGGACCATCTTCGGATTTGGGGTCCAATTCCATTTTAAATAAGAACTTTAATGTTCAGGCTTATGTACAATTACATGAAGTTTTAGCGACTTAGGGAGGGAAATTCTAAAATGCATTCAGATGGTTTGGATTGATCCAGCACATGAAGATTAAGTGACCTCTCACACTGTTTTAATCCTACATTATGACCTTGTAGCAGTAACTATCTATGAAGAAAAAGAATGATGACAAATGAAGATGAACTCTTTATTTTATAATGGCTTAATAGCATCATTACAGGAAGAAGTCCATGGACTTTGGAGCCAAACTACCTAAGTTTGAATTGTAGCTCTGCTACTTACTAGATATGTGACCTTTGGGCAAGTAATTTCATCTCTGCCTCAATGTCCTCATCTGCCCATTTAACCGAGCAGTTATAACAAAGGCACAATATTGAGCAATAAAAAAAATCCTTTTAAAAAGGGATGGAAAAAAAAAAAAGGGATGGAAGTGGGGGAAACAAGTCTGAATACTTACGCTGGTTTATTTTTGCCCTGTGACTTTATTTATTATTCTCACATCTCCCAGTTTGCAACCTAGTTCACGTGTGCCAAATGTTTGTAGAATCATGTAAATTGAGCTTGTTTATGTTCTGTTTAGAATTCTGAGGCATGATTAGACTCTTTGATCTATGTTGACCAAAGAAAAGTGTATGTCTTCAAATAATGACTGCTCTGGAAAAGTCCTCGGTAGCAAATAGCTACAGATTTCTTCTATCCAAAGAGGACACCTAGAGGTAACTTTTGTAATGTGGTTGCCTATCCTGAAATGCTTTCCAACTTCTGTTCTTCACAGATCCAATCATAAATCATTCATCACAGATCTAGTAAGTCCAAGTAGAATTAATGTGTAGCTAATCTTTAAGGAGAGGAAATAGACCAAAAGAGGTTACATTTGTTTTCCAGGCACAGTAGAAGTACATTACACGGTACAGAAGAGCTTTCAAATGTGATAGGTGGAGGGAACAGTAATGAAGGAATGTTTGGGGGACATTTGGGGAAATCTGAGTATTGACTGAATGTTGGGTGACGTTATTGAGTTCATGATGATATTCTTAGGTATAGTTAGGGCATTGTGCTCCTGTAGGAGAATGTTTCTGTTCTAGGAGATGCAGGCTGACATATTCAAGGGTAATTTACAGTTGTCTGAAACCTAGTTTCAGATGTTTTGGCAAAAGGGAAGTGTCCACATATGGAGAGAGATGAAGCAGGTGTAGCAAGATGTCAACAGTTGGTGAATCTAGGTGGGGAGGAATATGAAGCTTCATTATACTGTTCTTCCAGCTTTTCTGCACATTCAAGTCTTTCCCAAAAGTTTCAAATTATAATATAAAAGCATTGAGCTAAATCACTTAAAATGTTAACTGAATTTGTATCTTAACTTGTGACATCTCTTGTGTTGTTTTGTTCCTGTGTTGATATTTAACTTTTTAAGTCTTATATTCCCACTGTATTGTAATCACTCACATGATTATCCACTGCTCTTTGTATCTCTCATAGGAGACACAGCAAACACAAATATTTGCTGATGCTTGAAAAAACCCTGATAGAAAACTTCATAGCTCCCCACTTGTGCCCTGCTCTCACTGACCTTATTTAGGGCCCGGAGGATGCTTCCTTCTGCCCTTTCTCCAACCCCCAGCTTCCCCTGGCTGACTCATGTTCATCTTCCAGATTCCCATTCTAGTGGAAGCCTTCTTTGCCCCGCCTCTGTGCTCTTAGGTCATTTCTTCTCTCTTAGCATTTCATTATATTATAGTGTCTGTTATCTCAGCTGAATACCCCATTAGACTATAGTTTTCTTGAGAAGGGATTTTTTTTTTTTTTTTGCCTTTTTACAGCTGTAACCTTAGACCCTGACACAGTATCTGGCACATAGTAAGAACTTAATAAATATTTAGTGACTGAATGGCCAGTGCTAGAGTGGCCAACTTTTTAGAGAGCCAAACTGGAATACTGCCCTACCAGACGGCCCCCTTCCCCAAATATATGTGTGTGTGTGTAAACTATACACATATGTGTTATTAATTTCATATAAAACATTTTAAAATAAGTGTTTATTTTGTATCAAAGTTTTAGGAAAAGATACAATAATTCGTGTTAATCCATGTTAACTTGTTTGGTATGGCCTAACTAATTCAGTTCAGCCTATTTTAGACTAAGTATTGATGTCTTTGGGGGAGAGGAGAAAACTTATGATTGATTTAGAAGTACTTGCCTTTCTCTGGATTTGTGAGATTCTCAAAGTCAGAGCTTTCACTTCCCCTTCACAATGTTCAATTCCAAATTCTTTTCTGCAGATTGTGTAGTATGCTCTGTTTTGGTTATTTACTTTCTTAATTGTGCTGCATGGCTCCTTCCATCTACCTCTCATTAAAATAACACAGTTGTCTAACTTTCTTTTTCATGTTTAGATCATGCCGGTGTAGGTGTTGTAATTGTTATTTTTCATTACCTGAATTCTTAGAAAATTCACAGTATTCACAGTGTTAAAAGTTAAACTAGTACTATCTTGATACAAAGCATAATAGTTAATCCACAGGCAAAGCCAAAAATGGATTGTTACAAGGCATTTAAATTGCCCACTTAAATTGTATCACTCCTAGCAAGGCAACAATGGATGATTCATTATTGTGAACTGGTAATTAAGGTTGCCAACATCAGCTTCAGGAGTAAAAACGGCAACCAGTGACTACACAGGTGGGGTAGTTTGTGTTGGGAGCCATTTGACTCTAAAAACAGTGTTGCTTTCAGACTGTATTTTTGTGGGCTGCCACAAGGCTTTTGCAGGTTTTCCCCAACCTGTTGCACCAGTGTGGAAACTTTGTGTCCTGTGGAGGGGTTTCCCATTAAGTGGGACTTTTCAGTGCTACAACCCTGGCAAACTAGGACCATTGATCACCCTAGTACTGGCAGCAATCCCTAAAATGTCAGAAAGACATAAGCAAAGAGAATGTCAATAATCAATTTTCAGAAATATGTTCCTTTGAGACTGTAAAATCAATTCTTAACCAAAAGCTAATTAATAGGTAACTTGTCAGCATATATCAAAAAAAGCAGTAAGCACTGAAAACAGCCATGGTTCATTAAAAACAATTCTAATGCACTGTTGTTCATTTTAAAGTACCCTTGTTTCAGGACATACTGTGTAGCACCGGGAACTCTACTCAATATTCTGTGATAACCTATATGAGAGGAGAATCTAAAAAAGAATGAATATATGTGTATGTATAACTGAATCACTTTGCTGTACACCTGAAACTAACACAACATTGTAAACCAACTATACTGCAATAAAATTAAAATATGAAAAAAATAAAATACCATTGTTTCTTTTCTCAAT